GGTGAAAAAACAATTAGTCACCATGTTGAGGATTACTGGGGTGGCTGGAAGACAGTCACAGCCTCAAGTTATGAAAAAGATGTTAAAAAGCCATCAAACCTGTTAACTTCAAGGAAAATTATGATAACTCCTGATACTGTATTTTTCTAAACTAAACCATAAAACTAGCTTTTGAGTTTACTTTCTTTAGTCTAAGGTAGCAGAAATACACAGTGTATGAAAGAAAATTTAAAAGTAGAGGCTGGAAAAATCTGAATGGGAATAATAATCGGGAACATGGTCCCAGTTTTGGGTTCATCATATCTATCATTTTTAAGAGAAATCAAGATTTAGCAGAAATCAGTGGAAGGTTGATAATGTGTGCATGGTTACTCATTTGTCTGTAGAACCGGACACTCACATCATATTGAAAAAATATAAGCATGTTCATTTATCTTACCTTTTTTCATAACTTGTGAACAGTGTTTTTGGTTAATAGAAAATTCAAATTTTTGTTTATTTCATTCAGAAGAGGATCAGCTTTTTTACAGGGCAGAAGATAATTGAAAAAAGTTGTTTTTTTCTTGCCTTGCAAATTACAGATTGCTCTCTGCTTTCTTTAAAAAAATTTGTCCTTCCCTTTACTTTACCTCCCTTACTTTACTTAGAATGGCTAACTTTTGCAACCTAAAGTAATATTTGCTCATTAATTAATTAATAATGTTGATTGACTTTCACATATATCTAATAAGCCTTCCGAAACAAACAAAATATGCCAAAAAATCACCTCTTTCCCCATGATGGGAGATTCCTCAATCATCAGGATTAATTAGTTCTCTTGTTGTCACATGAAAAGAAGTTGCACCCCCCAATGTAGGTCAGTGTGAGGGTAGGCTGCTGATGGTCGCTTAGTGACAGGCACAATGATAAGCCGAATGTGTCCTGTTGAGCCATGACCCTTCAGAAAAGACAGTGTCAAGTAAAATGCCCACAGAAGGTACATAAAAGGCATAATCCACTTCTAAATATTGACAGTAGGAATTTCCCTGCTATTCTCCTTCTTTTTTCTTTTCTGGTAAACACGTCAAACTCTATTGTATTTGTACTCTGCATCAGTTTTGAAGCATTTAAAAATGTAAGGAAGCTAATGACCCATGAATAGATAGGATGTCAAATAAAGTTATTTTTCTTTGAGACTTAGCATCCCGCCAGTAAACATACTTGTAAAAGCAACAATATTGGTTTGAAATAAGACTTCAGCTTTTTGTTAGTGAAAAAATAAATAAATGAATATAAAGCAAAGCTGCTATGTCTTGCCAAATACTCTGACATTAAGTTTTGAATGTTAATATGTTTAATTACTGGAGTTAAGTGTCTAAAATGTACTTGAAATCAACAATGAAATACTAGCTTGTATCAAGGGGAGCAGAGTTAGACAAACACCAAGCACTCCTGAAGAACCCACCCACAATATTTACAAATACTGTGCTGTCTTTCAGATATATGTAATTTGTGTGAAAGGGCAAAAGCTTGAGTATGTATCCAGTATATTTGGGTTTCGTTTTTGCCTACAGGATGGGGTGAGAAGGTATGTGTTTTTGGGTTTGTTTTGTTTTTCTTTGATTTTAATAACTCTGAGGCAGATTTTCTGACATACAGGCTTCCAGGCTGCATTGTCTAGTATGCTTAACTTAAGACAGATCTTTAGATTTTGATGTCTTTGTTTATATCACTGAAGAGTTATGAAGAGGAAAAATTTGTAACATTTATGATGGTTTCTTGCCTGTCACCCTTGGCAGACTTTGAAAACAACAGCAGTCCACATTCCCAGGGCTGGTCTCCTGGTTGCAGCGTGGGTCAGGTGTGGGCATGGTGCTGCATGGCTGGCTTTGCTCCTGAGCTTGGTGCCGATGCCAGTGCTGAGCAAAATGGAACACTCAGCACTATGGGCACGAACAGGCACTGCAGACTTGCCCTCCTGCTTGCTGTCAACACCTGTCACACGCATGGATTTTTCAACTTTCCCACAAGTTTTACAGTGGAAGCAACAACCTATATGTTGCTCTTAAGTAACTAGTTCTAGTGTTGCAGCTTTAGCAGCTGGTCTTTGATCCCAATGGTTTCCTCTGGCAGACCATTAAGTGATGGTTTTTTCATACACATTGAACTGTTTGTAAACATAGTTTCATGCTTTCAGCTTTTCAAGAGCCTGAAATAAGGAGCAGTTCAGGACAGTTTGAGATCAAGTTTCCCCCTTGGGAAAGATTTAAAGAACAAGATTCTTAAAGCTGGATATAAACACTGTCTTCTTGGGAGAGTATCTGAGCCTGCAATTCTGGGATGACAAGAGGAATACAAATGAAATGCCAAAGGATGGTAGTTTCACAAAATGGTCAGATTGTTTAGTTGGAGGACATTGGCAAACCCTTTCAACCAGAGTGCCTGGGTTGCTCCCCAAGAATCTGCCTAAGCCCTTGCAACATCTTATCTCAAATTCTGAGTGATTAGCTTCAGGGACATTATTTCTGAATGGCATATGAGTAGACATAGTCTGTAAGCATTAATGGGAGTCTGTCCCATAAAAGCACAGTGCACACTTCAGAAGAACCAGCACTCAGAGTTGAGAGCCATAAATTGTAGGTAAGAAAAATATATGTTTGCAATATATCATATAACAAATTGCTTCGTCAAAGATTTGTTGCGTCCTTTTCTCCCCTCTTAAGAGTTGGCAGAATATATTCATTTCTAGTTAGAAGTATGATTTCCAGTTAGAAGTCTAGACATATCCAGAGGAAGTCTATGTATTTGTACAGTCTCACCATTCAGATTTCTGGTGTTACTTGTGGTTCAGTCCAGAAGACCTCTTTATTCTGAAAATTTGTTATGCCCTTGCTTGAAGCTTGTTCAAGTGAGCTATAGTTTACATCTATGTTCAAGTGTATCCTTTAAATCTTGTTTTGAATAGGCATGGATGATACTATATATAGGAAAAATACTGAAGCCACAGCTTCAGTACAGGGCTAAAAAGAAAAACGCAGATAAATGTAATTAACTTAGACATGAAAGGTTAACTAAAAAAAGGTTAATTAAAAGTTAGTTAACACCAACAGTTTACATTTCCTAAATTGCTAAGGAAGAGAAAAAGGCTGCTGAACACCTGCAGCAAACAGTTTTGCAGACTTAATCAACCATTTGCTTTTTTCATGGATTGTGTTCAGTAGTCCCAGAAGGTGATTTAGACCTCTTGTCTCCACCAATGTTATAGGGAATCAGTATGAAATACTTACTGATAACTGCAGCACAGCTGGCTCCCCAAACTCCCCAAAACTGGCAAATGCTGGCAGTGTCTCTTTACTTTTGTACAAAATCTTTGTATTTTTATCATCTCTCCCCAGACGTGGAGACTTGGCTTCTCGACTGTTCTCAGTCTGAAGGAATTCAAGTCCACATCTCAGAACAAAGTTTTGATATTCAGCCTCTAATCTGAGGCTACATCTGCTGCTGGATGAAAGCTGCTGAATTTGTAGCAGCAATTGACTTTGGAGAATGTAGTCAAACTTTAGTAACCAATCTCAGCCAGAACTGGTTTCCAAGAGTGCCTTCTCTAGCAAACAAAGGAGAGAGGCATTTCCAATGGGTGATCCATAGCTGCCAAATAAGGTTCATGTGTTTCTATGTTTGATGCATACAGTTGATCATATCTGGCTGTGTCAGGGACCTCTTGAAAGGACTTAAAGTTGCTAAGCTCAGACTGTACTTTCAGTTCTGGTGGAAAGATCTGCATTACCCTTGTTTATGTGATGCTGCTTCTCCTGTATGTTGACAAAATAATATATTCTCTTGGAGCAAAGTGATCGGGAATACTCACTGCTCCTCTCTCACAACACTGAAATCTTCACAAATTGCACTTGAGTCCAGATCAGACTAAAACTAGTTTTCAACTTTAACTGTTTCAAAATACTTCTTTGTTATGATTCTAGCTTCTGGAACACTTTGCTATCAGTGTGAGGGCAATGGGATGGATCAAGGATTGTTTCTTCTCTAAGACATGCACTTTTGTCAGCTTGCCATGAAAGCTTTTGTGGCCATAGCCTATTATGGGGCAAAGATAAAACATATCTTTCCAGCCAGCACCTACTGACTTGATGAGAACTTGATGAGAGGGAAGATCTGGTGTTCCTTTGGTCTTCTGACCATGGGGCTTTTTCACGGTCTTCCTAAAAATTGCCTTCACATGGCCTTTGCAAAACCTACCTGGATGTTTTCAAGTGTCATAAGCCACCTCTTGTTACATTGACACCCAGGGTTTCACCCATATCAGAAAGGTCTAACCATGACAGCATGCTTGCTTTCTCAAATAAGCAGCAAATCTGGTCTGGAGGGTGCCTTGATCTTGTTCTCAAAATTTATTGTAAAGCTCTCCAGTTACCTTTTGACACCACTTCACTGGTAGGAAGCATGAAGTTGTCGAGGGACCATAGGTAACAGTACTGTGAACTTTAGTTAGGAAGGGAAGATCCTTAATCTCCTTTCACTCCTTCCACATCAGTTCCAGCTTTGCAGCAAATTGTTTGAGTGGGATTTTTGTATCTTAAAAGTCCATATGTGGCTCTTGCCATGGAATTGGCTGACTTTTGACCTTTCTGTTGAAGGGGCTGCCATGGTGGCGTTTCCTAAGGAAATACAGCTGGTGGTGTTTGAGGGCATGCTTCCTTGGTTAGATGTGTAGCCACAAGGTCCTGAACTTTTTTCATGGTATGCTCAGTGAAAAATTTGAGAGCAAAGTCATTGACTGATAGCTTTCATTTCTATTTTCTTTCCTGAGTAATGCTGCTGGAAGATTATGTGAGTCCTTAATCAGGACAACAGGACTTTGCTCAGAGGAAGAGAATATGTGGGGTTAGAGGGGCACACAGATTTCTTTTCTTTTCCTTTCCAGTATAACATCATAAATGTGAGTGTACTGGGAGCAGAATGATTTGTCATTATTAACGCTTTGTTTTTTTTCTTTGTTTTTCTAGGATCTAATTCAGGATCAAAATTAAAAGTTCCTGAGCTGAGTATAAATGCCACGCAGCACGTTGTTCAAGTAGGACAGACTTTAAATCTCACTTGCAGGTAACCAACTGAGTTCAATTCTGATAATTTGGTAGGGAGATCATACACGTGACACTTTCTTTTTTTTTTTTTTTTTTTTGGTAACTGAAATTAGAAAAAACGAAACCTTATGTTGTGGAGAAAGGTGGGGAATGAACTTCAATGGCAATTGTTTAATAGTTCTTTGTTGTTTCTGTTGTTGTTTTTGGAAAACAAGATAAAAGAGAACCCCAGAAATAGCCTGATATAATAAAAAAGAAAGCTTGGGAACTGGAGCTATATAATTGCAGCCCAACATAATTGTTTCTGCTTCCTTATCTGTATTTGCAGGGGGGAAATGGTTCATTCATGGTCTTTGCCTGAAACTCTAAGCAAGGATAGCAAAAGGCTGAAAGTAATTAAATATGCCTGTGGAAGGAATGGGAAGCAGTCCTGCAGCAGTCTGACCTTGAGCAGAACTCAAGCAAGTGACACTGGAAACTATAGCTGCAAATACCCAACAAGTCCAGCGAAAAAGAAGAAGGAATCTACAGTCTATGTATTTATTAACGGTAAGACTAAATTTTTTTAACACTTCTTGGTACTTGCACTTCAATACAGAGAAATGGATAAATAAGGCAGTTCAGCTGTGGATAAATACAGAATTTTGAATTATATTTTCAACCTTGCAAAATATTATGATAATTTACCAATTAATGTATAAATCTACTTTCCCAGAAATTTCAAATACAAATATTAGTGTTTTATCTGTGAGGAAAAAAAATAAAGAAAAAACTCCAATCGAATCAGTAAATGGAAGTCCATATGGAAGTGAACTAGAAGTGAATATGTCAAATGGGTATCAGAGAAATCATATCTTACATGATTGGATGTGATGAGATTTCTAGGCAGCTGAAGGATGTCTTTCCAGATCACTGATTTATCCCATGCTGCAGAAAATTATTATTTGCGTGTTAAGTCACATTCAAAAATGTACCCTGCAGTCCATGTTACACAGATTGTAAAAATCTAGAGTAAACAAAACCAAATTAAACACACAATTTGTTCAGCAAACAAGTATTGTGTAATGTATGGGAAGTGCTGGAATTAGGTCAGTTAGGCTATAAAAGAAATTTCTTTCTGATCCTGTATTCTTCCAGAGTATCAATCAGACACTTCTCAGAATAGTTGAATTCAATAGGCAGAACAATAACAGAAGAAATTATAAACACTTTAGGGATTTAATTAATATTTTAGTTTTTCTTGATTTTTACAGAATAAAATTAATAGATTACTGTGACATGTCATGATTCACAGATTTTGAAAGCCCATATTACAGAGAATTTGCAACTGGAAGTTTTCCAAATTATGGGTCTGCTGCGTCTAATGAGTTCACATCAGAGTGAATTACCCTTTGTTTTCATTTTGTAACATGAAGAATGGGACTGGTGCTGTGAAAAAGCAGAATGAAGTGGACTTTTCACTACAGTGATAGAAAAATATAGCTCCTTCCCATTACTTTGTGTTACTTTATTGAGAATTATTGACTATTTCATGCTGTTATTCTGCTTTCCTTCATCTGAAATATACTGCATTGTCTTTCTCATCCAGTCGTTTTTATATGATTCATTGTAAATCCAACAACAGAAGCACAGACAAAGTAGGATATTCATTTAATGACCAACATTTCCTGCAACCTAGGACAACTTACAGTTTTCTTGGATGACTTTTGCAAGTTCCCATCATGGGACATTCTTAAACCTTCCACCTCGGATGTCATCTCTATCTGAGATCTACCCACAATCCTCTCCATTCACCACATGAGAAGGACCTCTCTGCTGAACCCATTTTATGATATAAGAATGCCTTTACATTCTCTTGGTCTCTTACCTCTTTGAAGTGTTAATTTTTCTGGATCCTGATTTTTTACAAATGGAAGGCACAACCAGTCTTTCTAATTCTTCACCGCTACCCAGGTTGTACGTGTCTTGCCTGCATCTGAAAGAGATCCTCAATTAGAAGATTGTGAACCAAGGTTATCAGCAGAATTCAAATTGTGATGGAAGAGAAATGTATCATTGCAGAAATACTTTTAGGACAGCCTCTGGCCACTCACCTCTGCCCCTGCACGCTATAATCAATTAAGGAAGACTGCCTGAGTGTCTTGGTTTTGTTGGTTTTTCAAGGATGTTCAGTCATAAATGTTGACATCACTGTTGAAGAGAGGGTTAGATTATATTTCTCCTCCTAACTTACTTGATAAATAAATAGTAAAATGTTTAAGGAACAAACCTGTATCAAGGTTAGGCCTCTTTGGGATGTTAATTTTCTGAATTTGACAATCCTTTTGATTGAAAACCAATTTCTTAACATTTAAGTGTTGATTGTGTCCTAGGAAACACACATGAGAGTTAGGGCAAACTATGGATAATGAGGAAGGCTGCAAGGAAACTGCTCATTTAATTCCTGTTGGAAGTGTCACTCTGCCCTAAGGTGGAGAGGAGTATATTAGTCATCCAAAAATTTACAATTTCAGGAATAATATTTAAGTTGGAAAGAAACAAGATACGGAGTACCAAAACTCACCCTTTCTGATAAGTGTACTGTTGGCATATGAAAAGAAAATACTTTTTCCATCTTGTTATCTCTATCTCTTTTCTATCTGTCTCTTATAATAAGTCACTGTTTCTGTGAACATGCATGAAAATTCAATTATCTGTTTCAAGTGGGGTTAAGATGGAGATAACAAAATCCTCTGTGAAGACTACCTTTCCTGAGTTTAGTTTCATTTTGCATGAATTTGTGGGTATTTAGGAAATAAACATTTGTAAAATTTGTGTCCCTCCTAGTTTTGTATTGTTTCCTGTGGCAGGACGTTGTGTCAGTCCATTTCCCATATTAGCTTCATGTGGATCACTGAGGTGCCTGTTTCCCATGTCTTAGCATGCTGCAGATGAGAACAAATAGTTGCTATTTACAAACACAGAATCCAAATCAGGAAAGTTGATATTGTTTGTACAGGAAGTCATCACTTATTGTTTTAAAAATGTTATTCATTTCCGTAATTAGAGTGATACTGAATATGAACTGGATTAAAAAAAAAAAAGAAGTCCAAAGACCAAACCACAATAAACCCAATAAGTCCTTTGGTTCAGTAATGAGTGTATGCTACAGCAGAAAATGAACTTCTACAGACAAAAACAAGATGAAAGACAATAAGAAGGAGACTGCAAGTCCCACATGCCCCAGGATGACTTGGAGCATTTCTCAAGTCCTGCTTTTGGGGATCAAGAAGAGGCAGGCTGGTGACTTATCTTCCAGGAGCTGGTCCTGACACCACCCTTCTTTCAGCTGGAGAGGTCACTGCTGAGTTGCAGAGGCGAGTAAGTGCACAGTGTCTCGGCAACTCTTGACTCCACACAGTTCAGGAATTGAGACATTAAGCAAGGGAAATTAATTCTCTTAAGAGCCTTCAACTTTGCTTCAAGAAAACTGATGGCCTGACTTTGCCCATGAACCATGGGAAAATGAAGAAAAGCCTCTGCCAATTTCTCCACTATATTGCAACCAAAACTTCTCAGAGCTTTGTTTGGTAAGCCAACTGCAGCCTAGTAGTAAAAAAAGACTTGCGGTGAACACTCACTGCCTACATCACAGTGAGTCATGGGGAATTTTCTGCTTGAAAAGAGATAATGATGGGATAAAGACATTTAAGAAATATCAAATTATCAGCGGGCTGTTTTGAAATCTATAGAGATTTCCCTGGGGGACATTACTAAAACTTTTCTTTCTCTCAGCCTTGTCCCAGTATCTCCAAGACACTTTTCACTTGCTGGAGCTAGTTCACTCTCTTAAAAAATGTGTGGTTCTCTTTATTCTCTACTCTCATCATTTCTTGCCTTTGGACAATTGTTCCCATGGTATGACAGAGAAAAATCCTGTAAGTTCTATTACATTGATACATAGTTAGATACATTGATACAAAGTTAGATTTTTGCAAGATTTTAAACAAACTGTGATTCAAGTTGAAGTGTTGCGATTTTCTGTAATGAAGACAGTTCTCGGCTAGTAATATGCAAGAGTAATGTCTTAATTATGTTGTAACAGAGAATAGAATTCTTCTCTAAGTATTCTCTGTATTTGGCTTTAGGGCATTAGCCCATTTCTTATTCGTGTTCTACCTCTCCTTGTCTGTCCTTATGATCCTGCTGTGTATGTCTTCTGAACACTTAATTTTCCTTGCGAAATGAGGTATTTTAAAATCAGACCTCTAGGCTGAGTCAGTTGTCTATCCTCTTTCTATAGTTAACAGAGAACAAAAAGACCTCATGGTGTCTACCACTTGTCACTGACTTTACAGGAAATCTGGAGAACAAGCTTAGAATAGATGTCTTGCTTTGAGACTGAGTCAGATGAGACAAATCAGAGCTGGGTAATTAAAGGTACACATCCTAACAGTACTTGTACTCACCAATGCCCAGAATGTTAAACATGTCTACTAGTTGTATGTATTTGGCTTTAGATGTGTCTCAGGCTTGGCAGTCCAAAATGAAAGGCTCTAGCACTAAGGAATAGTTAAAAATGTAAGCTTTTGAAGTCTCAGAACGTCTGGGGTTTTGAGCTCTTTTTCGAACTCTAAAGTTGTATGCTGCAAGTTCTGAGTGTATGGCATCTCCTTGGGAGGTCCACTTGCTGACAAATAGCTGGATCCAGCCCCAGAACTGACATGCATTTAAGATTTAGCTGG